AAAAAGAAGAAGCAAACCCTCTAAACATGATATAATCTCTAAAACTTGCAAACTCATAAAAACATAAAAACTGATTTAATCAAGAAATTTAATTCCTAACTAATTTAGTTTTGAATGATGAATTAAAAAAATATATTAAAAAAACTTACAAAAGTAAAAAAGATGGCAACAAAAATAAGGAAGATAAAATTTGATAGAAAAAAAAATTTAAGAATGATGAAATTATAAAAAAATATTAAAAATAATCCCAAACAAAAAAATAACAATCAAAAAAATAAAAAACAATTTTGAAAGACTAAAAAATCATAGGGAATAAAATTAAAAAATATTTTAAATTTTATAAATGATTTAAAATTTAAAAAATAATAATTATAAAAAAACAAATCAAACATATAAAAAAATAAATTGCAACAATTGGTTTGAATTTTCAAGGTAAATAACACAAAATTCAAGATAGAAAGAAAGTTAAAAAAAAAAACATTTTTAGCATCAAGCCCAAGAAATGTTCAAAGCTCATATCACCTCATCATGATAGAGGTGCTAGGACTTTTCAAACATTATCATGGAAGATAATGTTGGGTGATTGGATAACTTTAAACACGCCATTCAAATTGTGTGAGGGTTGTTCACATGGTAAAACGTGTATTTTCTTAAAAAATATTTAATAAATACAAATTATAATAATGCTTCTAAATAACTTTAAAATTTATAAAAAAAAACTATAAAATAACAACAAAATCCTTGAGGCATAGTTATGTTGGTTTTATTTTTAAAAACATCAAAGTAATTAAACTATTCTAAAAAAATTAAAACAAAAATGCCTAAAAAAGTAGGCATTATATTAATTTATTTTGAGGATTAAATTAATGATTTTATTATTAAAAAAACAAAATAACTAATTTAATTTGTAAAATATAATTATGTCATGGTAAAAAATTTATCTTCGATCCAATATCTGCTTTAAAGATTTTATGTCCGGGAAACAATTTCATCATTACGCTATTATAATACTATACTGAATAGTTACAAGTCTTGGTGTACAGTAACTTTCGAGAACTAGTTTTTTTGTTTTGTTTTTGTTATTCATGCCTCGATGAACTGCTTAAGGTTGCTCAGCCATCCCATGTATTCTCGACTGTCTTTGTTGATCATGTACTCGTGTAAGAAATTGGAAGTGCTGGCCCTTATTCCACTGATCCCCTATTCCTTGCGAAAACCTTTCTTCAGTTTCTCATCAAAATCACTGCAGAAACGAGACACTATTGTTACATAAAAGAATAATGTAAACCATCAATCCATTGGCCGTGAACAAGTGGTAGTAAGCTTACTGGAAGTTAGGTCCATCGTAAGCCATTTGATCCTCAGAAGTCTTAGGACCTCTAACTGACATGCTGTCGATCTTTATCTCATCAGCATAAGCAACACAGTTAAACTCTAGACAAGTTCCACACTTTTTAGAGACTGTAACAACTAATGGGATACTAGATTGCAAAGGCCGCTGATTATCATCACTGCCATCATCAACATCATTATCCTCCCCAGTAACAACATCAGGCATGTGAACTTCAACTCTCACGAGTTCACCTTCATATTCTCTTGTCAGTATCACAGTTTGCTGCCCAGCATTGTCATCAATCTTGAAAGGATATTCCTTTGGAATCTCTTCGACCTACCAAAAAGACAGAGTAAAGGGAAAAGAATATAACACAAACCTGCTACATTATTAATAGCTGCAATTACTCCATAGTAAAACTTGTTTTAGAAAGGCTTCCTGACAAAATAGAACCAAGTATCCATCACTGATGACGAAAAATAAACTTTATGCACGACAAAAAGAATTCTGAATTCAACACTCCAATTTACCCTGGCATAACTTATTCTTGCTCTCAATTTCTTGAAAAGGAAATATACAGGGCCTAGGATCGATGTAGTGGTGAGTCAAGCTCTACAGACAGCAAATTGTTATGATTTAAAGTTTTAAACTCTTAAATGAGAAATTATGCACGAAAATATTACTGGTCATGTTCTCTTTTTGGTTAACAACCTGACCAAATAGTGTATCTCGCCTAAAAACTCAAGTAAAAGAACTTGAAAACCTAGATAGACATTTACTTGAAGACATTACAAGACCATTCAAATTCGATATACAGGATCTCCATAAGAATTTCTCAGAATCCTGCACGAGGCTCCAATTTCTAGTAAACAATCAAGTTTATATTTGATGAAAAATTAAAGCTCAAACTTAAGTTTCTTCTCTTCCATGACATTTCTTTGTAACCAAAAAGATTGGAAGGACAGCTTAGAGCCCTGTAGAAGTCGTTGGCAATAAAGAACAAGGAAATCAAAACTATCAATCTCTAGTGCAATGCACTATAATCTCCGCAACTCTGCACTGAATCCAGTTTTTTGTTCAATACTACGATTTTTTGCAGGCCAGGACCAATAGTAACATTCAAAAGCTGTTATTCTAAACAAATAATGATTACACAATTGGATAACGAAAAGGAATGTATATAAAATTTTTTTTTGCTCCTCAGCTCTAAAAATTGCTTCTCTAATAATAAAATGGAAACAAAAATTACATATATTTAATGAAAGAAAAACAAACGTGAACAAAACCCATAGAAAAAAGAAAAAAGAATGTCTTACACCATCATGGCCAACGGTTTCCTGCGCAACCCTGATCTCCGATTCAAGAGCTCGAAGAAGCGACTCGTTCGAATTGGGGCTCTGAGTTTCAGTAACCGTGGAGCAAAAGCGTTGCAGAAATGGAACGACAAGAGAGGGATTTTTGCAAGGGAGATTGACTTGGTGCTTCAGAACGGAGAAGAGGGCAGGGTGGTAATCTCTCTGGCCGACTCGAATGATTCGACTCGCTAGTGGAGCTACAGACGAAGCTGATTTGCGGAGAATTGCAGTGAAAGACATTTTCTTGTTGTGTTGGTAGCAGGGAGATAGCGGAGTGAGCGTTGAGGGTTTAGAGAACAAAAATGCGGGTTTTAGGGTTTTAGAGGTTTAGGTTTAAGTTTTATTTTTATTTATTTATTTATCTCTATTTTGTAAGAAGTGGTTGGAGACTTGGAGTGGATTCTCTGTCGTAAGTGACCGTTGGAGAATGTTACAGGGAATTCATTCTAATTTTTTTTTAAAGAAATATATTAAAATAATATTTTTAATATTTAAATTTTTATCCATACATTAAAATAATAATAAAATATCAAAACAAAATTTTCACAGCAATACCAAACACGCAATGAGTAACGTTCAAACAGAAATTGGTCCTTGTATTACCAGGTGAAGTTGATTGTGTCACCTCTAAGAAAACAAATGCTTAGTAAGTTCCTGCTTTCACAGCTGCTAAATTCGGACGCAGAGTAGCATCATGCTTGGTAAGTTATCTGCTTGCATACACGCAGATAATAAATGTTAACAACCCTTAATATCATAATCGAGTAAAGTATTAATCAGATATGATGGCAAAATGAGTGGCATAGAAGCTCTGCTTTCAGAAATGAGTTGTTCATTGACACGAATGTTTTTTCCTTTGCCCATGTTCTTTGTCTTAAACATGTAGTTAGATTTTGCAATTAGCTCTGGGTTGTAATGGCCATTTCGGTTCGTCAGTAGCTATTTTCAGAGGAGCAGAGTAGCTATTCAATCTAATGCCTAGCAGGTTTGATGGAAGCCTACCAAGCAGTTGAGTGCTTTCTTCATCTTCACCCATCCCCATTTCAAGGACATGCTTTTTTGATCATTCATTTTCTTCCTTTTTCTCCAACCCTGTCTCTCTGCCAGTTAAACATTCAAAACTTGCATGTTTTAGGTTAGTCATGGCTCAAATAAACGTTAATTTGCTAACAGAAGCTTACTGAAAACTGTTTGATGGTTCAGTAGTAAGAGCAGATCGCAGGCGTATTCGCTACTCAAAAACAGATCAGACTAGACCTGTAATTCTGCCCTCCTCATTTTTGTCTAGCTTTGTTTCCATCTTTAATTTAATATATATATAATGCATGTTCAATTTTCCTTTGGCGTCATCTTTGTAGTGATCGGTTCCCATAGTGATTTTTAATCCGAGACTACTGCGCATCATTTCGCAATTAAAAACATGTCGTGCTGTAAGCATAAAAGAAAGTTTTAGCATCAAACGAAGTTCCACCTGTACAAGAGTTTCCTGCCCGACATTTTCTGAAGCAGTTTTACGCTGTTATGGACTTGCTGCTTATTTTTGTTTTCATCATCTAGAACCCTCTTTCATTTGCTTCCTTCTTTTAAGAATGAAAGACAGAGAATGTTTTACTTGGAGAGTTGCTAGAATTCTGAACCCAATTTTTGAGCTTTCTACGCGTTTGGAACTGGTTCAGTTCGATCTAGTTCTCTTTTTCCCTTGTGAAATTATCTCTTAATTCTCTTTCGAAACGGATATGCTCCTGAAAACATAATGAAAGCCCTTCAAAGGAGAGCGTGTTGGTAACGGTTTCAATTGATATTCAAAGCTCTTTGAAATTTACAATGCAGCAAAAATATTTTGCGGTCCGCAGCAGCGCATTTTGGAATCCGTATCATTTTTACCCACGTCATAGCATTCACCAATCGCATCTATGGATCAATTTGTTGCCTGGCGCGATGAAACAATTTTACCTTGTGGTGTTGTCCTGACACTGATTAAATTTTTTATGCTTTGCTACTTATTACAACAGCTGAATTGAAAGCATCTTTGCCCTCGCCTCCTCTCTCCTGGAAAGGTCAACCAAGGTTCAAGGGTCGTTCTATGCTTCTGCTAGCCAATAAAGATCGCAATTTTTTAGAAGATCACTGCAAAATTTACCTGGAACATTTAACATGACACAACAATTTACCTCAAAATCCAGAACTGACTCATTTAGAAGGTAACAACAAAAATGGAAAACCACTTGTTTATCATTTTCATATTGCTGGTGTCCGATCAGCGCTGTTGATAACAATATGCAATAAACCACATCAAACCACATCAAATAATCAATCCACACCATAATTGCAAAAAGCGACATGCTAATAAGCACTAATTATAGCATTTCAATCAGCTTTTTGGCGAAGTCGTGCACCAGAAAGATACATGGCATGATCTCTCTACTGAAATTGTTGGATGATGAGGTTTTTACAATAAGCTTCTTAAAGATTTCCACTAGCATAACAATTCTCAATGTCTTTGTTCGTTGAACATGTTTAAAATTTATGCTTCAATGAACTGCTTAAGATTGCTCAACCATCCCATGTATTCTCGACTGTCCTTGTTGATCATGTACTCGTGTAAGAAATTGGTGGTGCTGGCATTTATTCCTCTGATCTCTAGATACTTGTGAAAACCTTTCTTCAGGTTCTCATCCAAATCACTGTAGAAACGAGATACAATTGTTAATTAACAGAATAATGTAAACCATCAAACCACTGGCCATGACTAAGTGGTAGTAAGCTTACTGAAAGTTAGGTCCATCAAAGGCCATTTGATCTTCAGAAGTTTCAGGAACTCCAATTGAGATGCTGTCGATTGTTATCTCATCAGCATAAGCAACACAGTTAAACTGCAGACAAGTTTTGCTCTTCTTGGAGACTGTAACAACTAATGGTATACTAGATTGCACAGGCTGCTCCTTATCATCATCAACATCGTTTTCCTCCCCGGTAACAAAATCAGGCATGTGAACTTCAACTTTCACAAGTTCACCTTCATATTCTCTTGTCAGTATCACAGTTTGCTGCCCAGCATTGTCATCAATCTTGAAAGGGAAGTCCTTTGGAATCTCTTCGACCTACAAAAAAGACAGAGTAAAGGGAAAGGATAACACAAACCTGCTACAGTATTCCTTAATAGCTGTAATTACTCCACAGTAAAATTTGTTTTACAAAAATTCCTGAAAAAATTGGACTCAGTATCCATCACTGATGAAGACAATTAGATTATGCATGGCAAAAAGAATTCTGAATTCAAAACTCCAGTTTACCCTGGAGTAACTGATTCTTGTTCTCAATTTCTTGAATAGGAAATATACAGGGCCTAGGATCGATGTAGTGGTAAGTTAGGAGCTTCAAGCTCTACAGACCGCAAATTGTTATCATTTAAAGTTATAAACTCTTAAATGAGAAATTATGCACGAAAATGCTGATGGCCATGTTCTCCTTTTGGCTAACAAACTGACCAGATAGTATATCTCGCCTAAAAACCAAGTAAAAGAACTTGAAAACCTAGATAGATATTTACTTGACGACAATACAAGACCACTCAAACTCGATATACAGTATCTCGAAGCCTGTGGGAGGCTCCAATTTCTAGTAAAACAATCAAGTTTTCATTTGATGAAAAATTAAAGCACAAACTTAAGTTATCTTCTCTTCCATGAGATTTCTTTGTAGCCAAACAGATTAGAAGTACCCCTTGGAGCACAGTACAAGTCGTTGGCAATAAAGAACAAGGAAATCAAAACTATTAATATCTAGTACAACACACTATAATCTCTGCAACTCTGCACTGAATCCAGATTTTTGTTCAATACTACGATTCAAAATCTGCTTTCCTCAACAAAATAACGATTGCACAATTGGAAAATTAAAAGGAATGTATGTAAACTTTTTTGTGCACCGCAGCTCTAAATTTAGAGTTAAAATATTTCTCTAGAAATAAGATGGAAGCAAAAAACACATATATTTAACGAAAGAAAAGCAAACGTGAAAAAAACCGAAAAGAGAAAAAAGAAAGCCTTACACGATCATCGTCATCGTTTTCCTGGGCATCCTTGATTTCCGATTCAATAACTCGAAGAAGCGATTCGGTTGAACTGGGCCTCTGAGTTTCAGTAGCCGCGGAACAATAACGTTGCAGAAATGGAACGACGAAGGAGGGACTTTTCCGAGGGAGATTGACTTGGCGTTCCAGTGCAGAGAAGAGGGCAGAGTGGTAATCTCTGTGGCCGACCCGAACGAGTCGAGACGCTAGTGGTGTTACAGCGGAAGCCGATTTGCGGAGAATTGCAGTGAAAGACATTTTCGTGTTGTGTTGATAGCGGGGAGATTGCGAAGGCAGTGTTGAGGGTTTAGACTTCAGAGAATAAAAGGGGGAATTTTAGGGTTTTGGGGGGTTTAAGTTTATTTTTATTTATTTATCTTTTTCTTTCTTTCTTTTTCTGTAAGGAGTGCTTGTCGTGGATCCCCTGCCCTAAGTCACCTTCAAGGAAAAATGTTTGCTGATGGCACATTTGGTCCCTGTGGTCTTGATTTTCTATGTGTTTGTCCCTGGCACAAAACTTCTTATAAATTATAATCCTTCTATTAGTCCTTCCATTCAACTGTATTAGTTGGTTGCCACGTGTTTGTACGTCAAGGCTCATGGAGCTATCTGTAAGTGTAAATATAACATAAACAAGCATGAAGAAAAATGCAAATAAATAGCTATTTTCATACATTAGTAAAAATTATTTGATACTTAGAACCCGTTTTGCAATGCAACTGTTGCATGTTTTACTTAAAATTATTATTTTTTGGTATTTTTATATTTTTTTGAGTGTTGATGTTAAAAATAAATTTTAAAAAATAAAAATACATATTATTTCAATATATTTTAAAATAAAAAATATTTTAACCCTATCACAGTACCAAAAATTATTTTATAAAGATGATCGAGAATACTGTAAGATGGATTTTAAGACAGTAGACAACATTTTCAATGATCTGAATGATAAAGAAAACTCTATGTTATTTTAAATTTTGAACGATTACATCTCAGGCATATACAGAGGCATTTGAGGCGTCCAGATGAACGACAACGGGCCGCCAGCTACCAGCCTTGTTGATTGAAGTTACAAGACTATTAAACACCCACAATCTACATAGAGATACCAAGTATTATTCATAAGGAGAAAAATCTAGATGAAAAAGGAGAATAAACAGTAGCTCGTGACAACGATTTAAATTTAGAATTTAGATCTATAAACACAAAACAAAAGGAACACATAATCCAGAACGAAGAAGAGGCTGAAGCTGCCACCGATGGTAGGAGCAGCAGCAGCTGCTAAATGACTGCTTCAAAAAGATTCAATCCAGTTATCATTTTGGATTAAGCCCAGCAAACCAAGCCTCACTACACCAGGGATCCACAAACTATATCAGGGTATGGGCCTAAAACCAAGATCACTCTGAATACAACCGTTTTCATAAGCTTGGTCTAGAGCAGATGTCATCTCTAAATTAATTATTATTATTTTTTTATTTATTTATGTGGGTATCCGGGAAAGCTTGCGCGCACCACGACTAATTTCCACAGCTCACTGAATGAGCAGATGTCATCTCTAAATTAATTATTTATTTTTATAATGACCAGTGTTTGTTTACTTTACTTTCATCTAAAAAAGGGAAAAAAACAAAAGTAACAAGAACTGAGGGGGTATAAGCAACTAGTTGAGAAGTAACTCACAGCTCACTGAATACCCTACAAACCCAGTATGCATATAAGATACCACAAAGATGACAGGCGTGCACGCCAAAACTCAAACTCAGGTACAGTGAAAGGAGACAAACCTCTTCTACCAGGCCAAATCTGGTTTGCAATTATTTATTTTTATAATGACCGGTGTTTGTTTACTTTACTTTCATCTAAAAAAGGGAAAAAAACAAAAGTAACAAGAACTGAGGGCACCCCATAAGCAACTAGTTGAGAAGTAACTATCAATGTTAGTATGTTTTTATTAAAAGGATAGCAAAACATTCCACTACGAGTAAAGATCCTTAACCGCAAGCCAAAATCAAAATCCGTGAAAAAGCAAATCCTGGTCCCTCGCCACCATCTCCTTTTCTATAGCTTCACGGTAAAGAACAGTAGCTCACCAGCTGTTGTTGGCTGCTGCATTCACAAGGGATATTCTTCAATCCAATCAAAAAGACCATCTAATAATCTTAATACTCACAACTATCAACAGGGCCAGAAAAATTCTCGCTCGGTTTTTTTATTTTTATTTTTTAGGAAAGGGTCTCTACTCATCGAGGGAAAGGGCAAGAAAGTTTCTTTCTTTAAGGGAGATATGAAGGAGATGTTTGGGGGTCCAGGGAAAGTGAGTGGCTTGGGATTGAGAGTAGGACAGTTTGTATTTGCAGCTGCTTCAATCGTGGTCATGGTCTCTGCTCGTGGCTTCTTTAACGCTACTGCTTTCTGGTAATTTTTCACCGGGCGTTTATCTTCTCTTTTTTTTTTATTATTATTATTATTTTCTTGCTGTTGGTCTCTCCTTATGGATCGTTATCTGCTGAACATGTATTAGTCGGGAGATTGATGATGGTCTAGCTTTCATTGGTCCACTGGAAGTGGCCCATTTCATTTGTCAAAATCAGTTATTTCTTGTGTTATTATAGTTAATGGTATTTTTAGAATGTTCAGCTCTATGTTTTCCTAAATATCTCATGAGTACTATTTTTAGAACGGTTCCCTTCTTTTAGTGATTGGGGTAAAATTTTGGCCTCTTGCTTCAACCAGAGGAGAAATTTGGTCAAAGGACCGAAGGGAGGGAGAAACATCCCCTCCACCAATTATATTAAAGTGGGTGGTTTACAGTAATTATAGTTAGTGGTGTTTTTAGCTTCATTTTTTACTAAGCTCTTGCTGAGACATTCACATAGTGAGTTTACATCATCTGAGTTTTCTGGTGATTGGAATAAAACTCTGGGGCTAGTTTCTAATTGTAACAGTCTCATAGTTAGGAAACAGTGGTGTAGTGTCTCTGCTTCAATCAACAGAGAAACTTAGAGTAGAAAGAGGGAGAACCCATGATGTTTGGGTGGAAATTCTTTTAAATGAGTAAAAAGGAATTGGCTGCCTGTAATTTGTTTCTATTGTTCAAGTCTACCAACTGGACACATAATGTTTGAACTGTGAGCATTGATCACGATTGTGGCATATAATACTGGAATCGAACCCTTGTGTCAAGGATCGTGTACCCAAATTAAGCTCTCACAACAATGGAAGAGGAGGTTGTTTTGTGTTTATACCATTCTAGAAATTCCCAAAGTATGAATAATAACTGATCCATGAGGTGCTCAATTCCTACCGTAGTCTTCAGTTACCCTCAGATTATGGAAAGATGAAGCACAAAGTACTTTTCAACTTCATGTACTTGCGTGCATGAACTTTTAAACAGCCTTTGAAAGAGGCCCCTTCCAGTAGACACCTTTTAATTACAGGAGAAAGATGGCCTTACCCTTGTGGATCTGTTGCTACACCAGGAGGGAACCCCGTGCAGTACTTGAAATGTTTTCATTTTTCATTTTGTATCACCTCTGTTAAAAGACATTTTATTTCAACCACTACAGTTATTGCCACAGGTGTAGAGTGATTGTGCCAGCCTAAAAGGTATTGCTTAAATCTTATAGAAGTCTGCTTCTAGCATTGCATCTGATCAATCCAAATGGACTCAAAATGAAGTAATTCAGCCTGGCAAGCTTAATAACTTGTGGCAACCCCTTTGTAGACCAGACAATTACATCAGGGCCATGCTATTTGATTACTTTGCATGTCACTGGGAGATATTCGTAACAATGTCCTGAGGCATCACAAAAAAGTAGGGTGAAGGTACAATGGATGAGCAAGGGAGGATAAAGATCTCTTCATCTAGCAAACCCAACCAAGCACAATTTGTAGAAACATTTTTTGGCATTTTGCCGTAGCTGATGACTGTACTTCCAAACTGAATCTCTTATGAGAACAGCATCTTGTGTTGGCTTGTTCCACTTACTTTGGACTCCAAGAACAGAAGAAACGCCTTCCCCTTATAATAGTGATGATAACTGCACCTAGAATTGCCAGCATTTCAATCAAGTCAACTGGATTTTGTTTCAACCAGTGGAGCAGTTAAAGTGGTGGTCGTTTGATGGACAGGAAATTAATATGAGTGATGTTATTGTCTGCCCTATGTCACTCTGCATTCTAGAGTTAGGAGGCAAAGGGAGACAATCCTTTTCTTTGGTTTTGTGTGCCAGTTGAGCTGGTTATTTTACTCTCCTCTCTTTAACTAACCCTGCCACAGTTTGTATGTTTTTCAAGTTGCCTAACCTTGTTGTATGTTTCCAGGAAAACACCAACATTTCATATTCATGAGCACTGTAATAATATGACTTCAAGATTCTTTTTAAAGAGTTTGGTGTGCGTGTGACTGCATTTGAATAAGTGCATGTTGGTGCAGGCATGTGTTTGAAATTTCATTGAAAGTGGTTTCAGCTGCTTATATTATGCTTCATCTCACTATTTGATGGATCTTCTGTTGTGTAGTTTTAGCAATCCATCCTTTTACATTCTCGTACTTCCACAATTTTGACTTTGTGTTTTGAATTCAGCTATTTGATTGCATCAATGGGGCTTCAACTCCTTTGGAGTTTTGGACTTGCGTGCCTTGATCTGCACGCTTTGAGATCTAAGAAAAACTTGCAGAATCCTGTCTTAGTGAGCTTATTTGTTGTTGGTGATTGGGTAACTATCTTCTCTCCCATACCTGTGTTAAATTGTAATTTTTACAGTTGTGTTTGTGGCATGGTAAGAGAGATTAAATATGACAGTTGGCACAGCTTAGCCAGATTTTCACACGCCAGTAGTATGGTTTCATAGGTCCCTTTGCGCTTGCTTTTTTTGTTCATTGCTTAGCCAATAAAAATATGAACAGCATTGGTCAATTCTTTGAAGATATGATGGTGGGAAGATTCTGAAAATATTTGCAAAATCCCCTAGTTGTTTCACTTAATATCGGAATGGCAGCAATATCCTTTTCTCTTCATCCTTCCCTTGTTTCATCGTGCTTCTCTCATTTACTTCACCCTCTTCCTCACTGTGCTGTCTTACAGACATGCAAGTTCTATGTACCCGTCTATAACAGTGTATGCTCACTTAGCTGACAGTATATGCTGTCACGGAGCTAGATTTTTTGTTCAAGTTACCATTCTCCCTGTTTTGTTTCTTATGAGATCTAGGTCTGGTGACTTCATCCTGCAGAATCGAGTAAACAATGATGTAACTTTTAGCTAAAAATTTGCAGGTGACATCTATTCTATCACTTGCTGCTGCATGTGCAGCAGCTGGAGTCACCGTGCTGTTTGCAAAAGACTTGCACTACTGCAGAGCACCATACTATTTCCCATGCAGCAGGTTCCAAATCTCCATTGCTTTGGCATTTGTCTCGTGGTTTCTCCTTGCCATATCTTCTCATGTTATGTTTTGGCTGTTGGCCGCCGTATGAATTAAGCAATAACAGCCACACAGTGTCCTTTATCTTTACTTGCCCTGTAAATATTGTTACCAGTGAAGGGAGCATCTCCATTTTTCTTGGAAATGTCAAAGGTATCCCATTTCAGCAGCATGCCTCTTTGTCCTGCTCATAGGTTCATTGCTATCTTATGTTGTAACATCTCGGTTTTTGAAGTTAGAAGTTTGAGAAAGACAGAACTCTAAAGGGAAATATCATGTCATTTCACACCATTCTCTTACCTTGTATGGATGAAAGTAAAATAGCTGGATGTTGTTGCTTCTAGTCAACGAGAAAAAAAGATTCTCGTCCCTGTTACTAAAATAGATGGATGCATGATTAGATAGGTATCCTTTGAGTAAAGAATTCTGGATGGGTCATTCCCTTGTTCGGTAAAACTTATGGCATCTTACCAATTAGGCTAATCACAATAATGGAACAAGTTTCCGAGAAATATTTAAAACCTGCGTTCCATTTTCGTGGTTTAAAAGCTTTGCAGACTCGGGAGTTGTTATGCTTGATGAGGTAACATTTCCAATATTCTATGGGACAAGTTCTTGTCTGTATATGAACGCAGTGATTAAACGTTATAGGAGTTTTCGGAGCTGTGTTTAGCAGCGCAGTCAAAACATTGATTGTCTAAAATTTAATTTTTTTAATTTAAAATTAATTGTTTTAATATTAAAAAACACTTTAAAACGCAGATAAACTCACCCACTCAATTGGCATATTTTTCAAACTGAGTGGTTCTGTAGCTATTAGATGAGCACGTCTGCTCTGTACAATTGGCTTTAAAATATAATACGTAATTTATATACCCCGTACCTGTCGAGATTTCCTTCATATCTCTGAAAGCAACAGTTCAACCAGTTACATTTCATAAAGATTTTCGGTTTGCCTATGCAACTCTGAAGTCTAAACTGAAAGCAACGATGAACGAGAGAAATCCTCTTCATGCCAGCTGCTTAAGTATTGGGAAAATGGAGGACCTACGAGGAAAATTGTTGAATTGTTTGAAGAAAATGTTAAAACTGAAAGAAAAGGCAATCTATTTACCATTTCCTGACCCCCAGATTTTATTTGTCAAACATCATTTCCCAGCTACCTTGCACAGTTGGACAATAATCTAGTTTGGATTTTAGAATCCGGACATGGGACAGAATGATGTCAGACGTTGCACATGTTTTATTTTTTAAGCACGTCTAAAGCAATTGTTGAGATGCAACATTTGAGATGCAATATTTCACCTTCCATTTGTATTTTTCCCTTTGACAATTCATCTTTGTAGACATGGTTAGGTACGGCTTCACATGGGAGGCCAGGGACCCCCCCTCTCTCCCTCTCTCTCTACATTCAGCAGTATCATAATAATAAAAAAAATCATTATATAAGTTGAAGTTCTAAATTTATTTCAAATTATTAGTTTAAATTTTATAAATTTTAGAATTATTAAAAATTTATATAATTAATTAAGATATAAATAAACTAACTGGAATATTTATATTAATAATAATAAATAAATAAATCCACACTCCCTCCAAATTATGACTATTGGATTAGACTTGAGGTGTTTAATTGGAACAGTTTCGCCAAGTGCTTACATAGAAAATGCCCTTTTCTTGATTGCTCTTGACATAAAAGTTACAATACTCGAATCACGTTTGCCACCAAACGTGGCATGATAATAGCTGGGATCCACATAATTATCTTTAATTGATGGCCAATGGAATATTCCCAGCACACAGCGCTCAGCGACAGCCAACTCCCTTTCACTTGTGCAAGGACCCTTGACAGCCATTATTTTGAGCCCACTGTAGGAGTTCTTTTTTCCATAAAGACCACCATTGTAATCAGCTGGGGACCTTGATGGTAACTCTCAGTATCTTCATAATCATATTGATTTGCTGTCCTATGCTGATGGCCATATCTTCAACTTTTATGTCGTCTCTGATTACAAGAAGATTGCCACTTAAAAAATACAGAAATCTGCGTAGGGTACTGTTGAAAGCACTCATCGTTAAATATGATGGTCCACCACCGCCTATAACAGGATAAGGCAGCTTATGAAGGACATTTCCTACAAAAATAGATTTAAAATTTCCTCGCACAGGCATCAGGCATGCCAAGCCCAATAATGCAAGCATTTCAGCACATCTAGTAGCATTGTCGATTTGTTTCTTTCCCAGAGTGTGCCTGCAGTATCTTTTGCGTAAAGAGATTGATTAGACAATGTGTAGGAATCCACTCGGGTGAAAACGTGTATTACGAAAGTTTCGGGACCACCCATAAACAGATAATTAAAAATTAAAAAAATCATAAGCTGTCTACCGACACTTGATTAACAAAGCAAATAAATTTACTGTTGATAAATTACACTATTCAGCGAAACTGAGAATTCAATTTTACAATGTTGCCTTATTTTTATCTACAGTACAAAGTTACAATTCTCACTCCATTTTCAAATTTATGACACGCCTACTCTTCAGCATTCTTACTCGAATTCAAACTCAGAAACTCATGGAAGATAAAGGAAAAGAACGATAACAGTTCCAAACGCAGTAACTCATAACCCCCGGAAGGGTCTAAACATAGTGTACAAATCTCAAACACAGACCTTCACATAACTATCTCTGGCTTCAAAATGCTTGATTTGATCTCTTTGTGGGGTAAAACCACACCTCCGTTGCTGTAAATTTCATCACAAACATGCACATCTTCTCCGAGGATTGTTAAGTTCTCTACACGGGCCCATTGCCCAACTGTGGAGTGCCATCCAATGATACTGCTAGATATGCAGGCATGCTTCTTGATGCGAACTCCACGCATCACAGAGCAACGAGAGAGTCTAACTCCAGACTCAACAATGCATCCTGGTCCTATTGCAACATCAGGTCCGATCAAACAACCCTCTCCAATCTTGGCAGTCTCATCCACCAAAACATTTCCCACAATATGGGGACCATTGGCCAACTTAGATGAGGAATTTTTTCGAAGGGAATCTAGATAGAGTCTTAGGCCAGTAATATAGTCTCTTGGTTGTCCAATGTCCATCCAAAACCCTGGAAGCACCATTGCGTAGAGCTTGTCCTCCGCTGCAATTTTCGGGAAGACCTCTTTCTCAATTGAGGTGGGCCTCAGTTCAATTCTATCAATAACAGATGGGTTCAGCAGATAAATCCCAGCATTGATTTTGTTACCAACAAATATTTTTGGTTTTTCCACAAATCTCTCAACTTTTCCCGTGGATTCTTCCATAACCACAACACCATACTTTGATGGTTCATCCACCTACAGTTCAAGGCAAAATGATTTTCAACACTGTCAAGATTATTAGTTTGGAAATATCTCCAAGGAAAACCAAGAAGGGTAGACTAATAACTAGTAGAGTGGAAGGGTTACCTTGGTCACCATTATGGAAGCCTCCCCACCATGGACTTTGTGGAATTCTATCATTTGTTTGAGCGGGTATTCGCTAATAACATCACTATTGAGAACAAAAAATGGTTCACCAGAACCATCAATTAACTTGTCTCTTGCCAGTGCCAAAGGACCAGCAGTGCCAAGTGGCTCAGTCTCTTGTGAGCACGTGATCTTAATCTCAAGCTTTGTCTCAAAATCCTTCAGGAAGTTCAACATGACCTGCAGGAAAGGCACAAGCATAAGCAGCTATCAAACCTCAATTGGAACAATCTGTGAATTATTAATAAAAGTTGATGGTGGTTAAAAAGGGGTGAGAGGTGAAGCTGCTTGTCCTTGCCTCAGGTTGGTAGTTGATAGCCAAAACAACTTCAGTCACTCCAATAGCCTTGAGAGCCTCAATCTGCAAACAATTCAAAGTTCAATAAGTGGGATATAACACAGGCAATACCAACTAGAAAGTCAGATTTGTAAATTTAGAAAATGATCTTGACAGTAACAGGGTGTAGAATTATTACTGCCCATTATACATGGGCAAGTGTTTGATTTTTTTAACACCCAGGATGCAAAACAAGCTGTCCCTTGATCATGAAAGTCAGGAGATTATATCAAGTTATTGCAAAGAGGAAACAGTAAACCAGAAAGCAGCATCCATCACGAGTCCAATTACACGTGTCAACAAAGGCAATGCTCAAAAACTTATACCTGATGCAGGATCATAGGTTTGTTGGCAAATTCAACAAGTGGTTTAGGGACACTGAGAGTCAACGGCCTCAACCGTGTTCCAAACCCTCCAACAAGGATCAGTGCCTTCATTCTGATATGCCCCCTGCTTTTCCTGCAAATTACACTGTCAGAAACTAAGCTGCAACATAACCAAGCGTAGCAGAATACAATCTAAGCCTGTTCTTTAACCACTGCTATGGCAAAACTGTGAAACCTGACAAATAGGAACTAAATTAAGCTTGAAGCAAATTCATCCAAACAGAAAGAGTTAGAAACACCAGTTCATCACAACAGTCAGAGAGGACAAACCCTGAAATTTAAAGCAGAGCACATGGGACGCAACCAAAACTTTAAACACAAGTCATGAGATAAATCAGAACGCTTGAAAGAGTAATGCAAATTTGTCCAAATGAATTAGCTGGTATTAGCAAACAACAAATTCCAGCTATGCCACAGGCTGGAAATTTTAATGAGAAGGACAAAATTGGTTTTATTTGGTCATCTGTTACTCCATATAAGACATGGAAACTAAGCCAAAATCCAATAGACAAGCATAACTATCTCTGCATGAACAAGCAAATGAAGAAATTTTAAGCTCTTTGTCCATCTCCCCAAAGAAAAGATCCCTCATGGGACTCAACTAAATAAAAATTTCCTTTTGTAACTTCCACATTTGGCTCAAAAGAAATAGAAGCAACATCTTCCTAGCCAAATACATTAAAAAGATCACATTGCACAGAGCACAGCTTAAAGTTAAATGCATTCAACAAACAGAGCTGCCCAGGTATATTATTGTTTTTCTATTTCACCTGCTTTTGTGTGATAAGAAGAAAGAGCCACCACATTGTAATTTTGATGCATTGCCACCATAAGGAGAAAAAAGGATGCATTTAAAATGAATACATAAGGATGAGAAGCCTGGTGGATTCTTTCATTTACTCAAACACCCAATGAAGAAAAAAACATTTTGGTCTCTTATCGGACATGAAAGGCCACAATAATGGATTTGTTTCCTCCACAACTAAGGACAATTTGCAAACGTAGGGCATAAAACTTCAGAAAATCATACCCGACAAAGGCAATCTCTACCAACTGCAAAATTGAATGGCAACTGAATTCAACTAAAACAAGATCTTAACATTCTAATAATGAAAAGCCCTCAAAAAGAAAAAAGAAAAATCTTTCAACATTCAAAGTGTTTGTTTTTGTGGTCAAAATTACATTTAATTGCGTTTTAAAAGTGTATTAGATGTGAAAAAACATCAAAAAAAATTTAATGTTTTCTGATGATTTTGATATACTTATATTAAAAAATTATATATTAATACATTTTCAAATGAAAAAATACTTTTAAAAAGCAACATACACCACACCACAATACCAAATCATCAAGCAGTCAGGTAAAAAGTAAACTACAACGTTCAATCATTTGGCCGGAAAAGGAAAAACAGAAATGTCAGCAGGGGTCATGATGTCAAAAAGAAAAAATCTTTCAACATGATTGTCTCTGATCGAAGTGAATTTGAGATATAGAACTAATCATTAGCATTAAATAGTTAAAAAAAAGAAGGCAGTTACACTGAAACAACAAATCTTAAATTAATATAAACTCAAGTAATATATATACAAAAGATCTAATAAAAGGACTCTAATCTAATACCCTAATCACTCATGAAAATGGCCTTAAAATCTCGTTCAAAAATCCAATAAAGCCGCAAAAATCAGAATTGAGAGTACACCAAAACAATAAATAAGGATAGAGATTATAAAATAAAAGAATGTCAAATTCTAGTCAAAACATTGTCTACATTACTTCATTTCATCAGAGATCCACGGAGAACCACACCAGACTCAGACGAAACCATAAAGTCTCAAAACGCAGAGACAAAACAGTACAGCGATTACCTTTAGTCTGACAAAATCCAGAATCCGATTCAGAAGAGCACAAACAGGTTTCCAAGCGAGTCAGAATGGCGGGGGCTGAGTCGACTCGGAGAGGTTCTGGCTCCCTCGCACACTACTTTTAACGGTAGGTGACAAGGATCTCTCGAAGGCTTAGCTGTACAAAATGTTGCTCGTTTGATGGGTTATTTATACACGCAAAAAAAAAAAAGACGAGGGGAGAGAGAGAGGAGATTGGGAATTGGCGGATTTGAAATTAATTATTAATTTCATTTTAACCAAGGAACTTTCCTATGAAGGAAAAAAACTGGGAGCTGAATTTTTAATTTGGTGGAAGTTTCGGGGTTGTTTCAAATTTTGGCATTTTTATGTTGTGGATAAAAATGTACTATACGTCTATTTCTGGTATTTACACTGCTAATATAAATAATAAGTGGGGTAGAGTTTCTTTTGATACACCACGCAAAAAGAGGAAGAAGAGATAAGAGGGTGTGGTTATGGTAACGTCACCATCGTGTATTTAGTGCTGATTTGCAATTCTTGACCATGATAATGAATGACAAATAATAAATTATATGAATTTAATATTAAAATCAACTTTTATAAAATATTTATCTAGCTCTTTAAAAAAAAATTGAAAAAATAAGATGAAAGTACTGGGGGTAATATATATATTAAAATTATATGAATTTTATCTTTTCTAAACATATGAATTCAATTTTTTTTTCAATTGAATTCATAGCAAACATTATAATTAAATCTAATTGCAATAAAAAATTAATTTCAAATAACATGTGAGAAAAAAAAGGTAAAAAAAAGCTAAAGTACAATCGTGCCCGATATGATAAAAAAAAACTTTACATGTGCATATGCATGTAAAGCGAGATTAAACTAGCATTTTAGGTTTTTGGATTTTATTAATCCTAAATAATTCATATTTATATTCTAAAATTCATAAGTTAGAAATCCACAAAAAAATAACACTTTGCATGTAAAAAAAGTATCATTCTAGCTAAGGGTGTGTTGTTTTCGCAACTCAACATGTTTAACAAGGTGTGTTTTAATTAAAAAATATTAAATTGATATTTTTATATTTTTATAATTTTAATATAAATAAAAAATATTATAATTTTAATACATTCTCAATTAAAAAATAAATTTATAAAAATATATGTCATTGCATTATCAAACACTAATTAAATAGACAGGGAAAACTTTTTTATTTCACCAGACAATTCCTTATTTTATCACTAATGACCCACTTTCACTAAACAAATCCTTATTTTATTACCAATGACCCACTTTTTGGAAAGAAAAAAACGTGAGAAAACACGTTAAATTATAGAAATCCAGATTCGGTCCTTAACCCACAAAACGAAGCACGAATGCAATCGCACCAAACACCATACTCATCATTAATATGCAGTTAAAAATATTTATGCAAGGGAAAACAGTACCTATTCGAAATT